ACAAAGAAAAATTACAAACATATGAGAAAAAGAAAAGGGTGGAGGAGGAAAAAAAATAATTAAAAAAAGTAACAAATAACTGGGGAAAAAAAGGATAAAATTTTTTATAAAATCCGGAAAATAAAGGATATAATCTTTTCATCAGNCGAGTGCAGCGCCACTAATTTGCATATTGCAATTTTACTCAGCTACTCTTAGTGGACAACATATGCAAATTTTGCACGGTTTGGCTTACTTTTGAAAGAGTTATCGCTATTTTTGTGATTTTTCCTTAATTTATGATAACCAGTGTATTTTGTTACCCATCTGTATATATATGTATGTAATACAAAAATTATAAATACTTTTGTATTAATAAAAGAATTAAACCTCTTTTGGTTTCATAAAATGTCTTTGTTGAAGAGTAAGGGTGGAGATATTCTATTTTGGGAATTCAAGGCTGAAAACATGCCATTGAATAATAATTAGATTTATATTTGAAAGGAGGAGTTATTTTTAGAATCTTGATCCTCCTTCACTTCCATATTAGGAAGCATTAAATGATTTTCCATAGTGCGTAGAGTTACAAGGGCATGTACGACTGTAACCTAATTGTTTTCGCATGTCTCTTGCTGAATAACGTGTTCCAATAAACATCTGCCGGAACCATCCATAGTTTCGTCCACAACCCCTTCTTTGCAGGAGTGGGGATGTGAACTGTTATCACCACCAGCCTAACTTTTAATAAAACTTTTGATAACTTATTATGGTTTTGACTGCATTTTTTACACCCATGATAACAGAGATGTAGCCCTGTTATTATATATATATATATACTGGATAAAGTATTGGGAGAAGTTTGCCTTCGTGGAGGACTCTTTGATGGAACTAACCCATCCTTGCGTTGCACGGAGAAGAAAACCGCGAAAACCTCCAGCAGTTAGCCCGACGGCAAAGGAACTTTAACCCATAATTCTTATATCACTAAGGATATTTTACGTCAGCTCAGAGACCTGTTCGAGTCGGGTGTGGGATTCTTATCAGCTAGTCACCTTTGGGATTCGAACCCAGTCACCTCAATGGATGGCGAACGTTCTATCCCCTCTAAGTTGTTAGTATAAACAGAATCGAAGATTTCTGACTTCTGTTTAGAAGCAAATTGCTTAGCAGAAGTATCATTCGTCTTACTTCTAAAAAGAAACTGTTATAATAAGCCTAAATTCTGTTATAATAAGCAAGTATTTCTTTAATTTGTGAATTTGTCAATTTCCTAAATTGATTAAATAAATTTAAGGTAGCACAGAGGAAGAAAATCGGCAATTTCGATGAAAATTTCGATTTTTATTAATTGTCCATATTTGAACTTAAGTTCATGAGCCTTCTAAATCTCTTTAATTTTTTGTCTTCCAATCTTAAGAAATGAAACTATAGTTGTTTTTTCGCATGCTGACGGATGAAATTGAAACCGCAAGCAAGCTCCCGAAAATGAAACTCTAAAACCTTAATGCTAACACAATCACAAAAAAAAAGTTTGGAATAAAATTTTTCGAAACTTAGAATGCGTATTTCCTATGCTTGTTTTTTCGTTTTGAGTTAAAAGCTGAGGTCTAAACGTGAATTTAATATTTTTAGCATACTTAACAGTACGAAGTTTTAGAACTTTTCTGTAAAAATCAATATTAAAAATATGTTTTGTTCTATTTCATTATAAATTTGATATTTCTCATAGATTTTGGTTCATAACACAGACAAAAATATTATTGATCTAGAAAAAACTATTTTGATATTTATGCATTACGCGTTGTTGTTAGCGGGCATGTTGTTAGCATGAATCGTGTTTTAATTCTCAAATCTGTTCTATTGGGAAAAAATACTTTATATTTATGTTACATTAAACTTACAATTTTAGCACCTTCTTACCAAAAATTATATGAAAATTTTTTAAGGCTGTTTTTGGAAAGAACAGTCTTTAATCCCTTGAAGTAGATGGGGTACCGGTCTCTTTATTATATATATTTTTTCTGATCTTCTAATTACAATCAAAAGTATATTTTGCTATTTTTTTAATTATGAAATTAATCTAATAGTTACTAAAAATTTGTTAGACGTTCGAGTTATATTTCTACTATATAAAATATGAAATCCAAGAGAAGTGGTTTTTTTTTCTTTTTCATTCATATTTAAATTTTTAATCAATAATTGATTTTGTAAATAAAAGCAACAATGATGAATAACTGTTTCTTTTAGATCTAAAGAACTGTACTTAAGTGAAAATTTGAAAAATTATTGTTTGAAAGAGAGCCGTGTTTGGAAGATTTTACATTTAGCGCAGAAAAATACGCGAAGTCCCAAGCTGTATTTCATAATAATTATAAATCATTAAAATGTTATATATAGTATTTTTAACTTATTTTTATTTAAATCAGTATCAAAATAATGATAAATATGCTTAATAAAAACTCTGCGTCAAAGAGTTAAAATAAGCAGCTAAGTCTAACACACTGTAAAAAATTCCAGAACGTAAAAGTTTGTAGTAAACAGCGATGTTTAAAGTAAATATCGACACTTAATGCACGTGGACTACACATTGAGGTTCATGGGTTTTATAGCCGGATTTTTAAATAGTTTTGACAGTTAAAATAAAAACAAATGTTCCATATCTTATTAATATTTTAAAACTTTCTGCAAACAGAAGTGTTTAGAAATAAAGTTTAATGCAAAAATGTAGCAATATTTGTTTTATGCAGTTTAAGATTCAAAGCTTATAGAAAAATCGTATAATAGTTGAAATCTGCTCTACACTGTTGAAAAATTCCAGATCTAATGATGAAAAGTACCGGTACTTGAACAAAACTCTTATGTACCGTACTTTTTTCAGCAACAATTACAGTAAAATTACTGAATCACTTTAATTAAATAATTGTCGCTGTAAAAATTACGGTATAATTTTTTATGGTAAAATAGAATTTATGGTGAAATGGATTTTACGGATGATGCACCCAAAGTGGTGGTACTTTTTACCGTAAGTACTTGCGGAATTTTCGATATAATATATAAGAGTCTTTAAATAAAGGGAATTTTGAAAGCTTTAATTCGATTTGAAACTAAAAATTGAAAAGGGTCGAAATACTAAAATGATACAAAATCGTATAATCTCCAATTATTGTGTTAAAAAAAGTGTGAATTTCAAATAACCAATTAATTATTGAAAAAAATAAGATCTGTCATGACAAACTATCATGAAAAAGTTGTAACTGGAACTTAGGACAATTGCTTTAAAACAATTTCTTTTTAAAAATAGAAAAAAAATTAGCGTCATGGAGAATAACAGATCAAATCTTATGACATTGGTTAAAAGAAATTTTATTAGATGTTATTGCTAGCTCACGCATTATAATGAATACGCTTCCATGTTCCCCAGTTGTAATAAAAAGGTCTCTTTCTCGCGTCTTCATCTCGTATCTTTTCATGTTTAATTGCGATTCAGTTTCTATTCTGCTATCAACCAGCAATTTTCCATGTCCTAAACTAATTCCATAATTATAATAAAGGAATTGAAAGGTAACAAACATTTATTTTTAATGTTAATTATTGCTGTTGTGTGTATAAGCTTGCTGATAGTCGAATGTTTTATGAAACCGTGTATTTTTTTATTGCTTTTAAATCATCGGTGCCACATTAGGCATTACATATTTCCTAGCTTTTCAAATTTCTCTAATTTCTTAATCCTTCTTAATCAAATTTTAATTAAATTAAATGATTTATTTAATTTTTATAACATTTTGCAAAGAGCGAATATAAAATATTTTATCCTTTTCCTAACTGTAACTGTAACGGCTAACTTTTTATTTCAATGCTAATATAAGACTCATTAATTAACTGTCGCAACTAAATTGAAAGCAAAAATTTATTTATAACTTTTTAACTCTTTATTTCGTACCACAAATGTGTTTTAGTTACATGATTATACTAATTCTCACAGTCTTTTTGGTGATTCGCCAGATTATTTTCAAGTCTAATATTGATTATGGGGAGTTATATTTATTTTTGGCTAAGTTATCTTTCGATGAATCACCAACCATGGATCTCTTCCCATGCTCCTAACTGTCTGTTGGGAACAATTCAATCACTTTCTCAAAAATGAGAGTTTGATTTTTGAGAACGTTTGAAAAATCGCTTTTGACTAAGGGTTGAAAATAAATAAAAGCTATTACTATCAAACTACTTTTGCGTTCATCATTTATCGTATTGGGGAACAATTTTTTTTTGTTTTCTGTTGAATGAGATTTTTCGCAGATGTAAGAGATTTTCGTATCTCTGATTTCAAATTTTTCAATCAGCTTTAAAAAAAAAAAAAAAAAAAAAAAAAAAAAAAAAAAAAATAGTCTATTTGCACATTGCTTCAAAAAATAGACTAATTATTAGAATTAGTCTATTTTTTGAAGCAATGTTCAATTTTAAAAACATTGTATATATCATAGGGAGTCACATAAATGTTACGATAAACGTCCAAGGGAGTAAGAGCACATCACCAGGATAAAAATTGCATAAACGTCATCATACGCCAGTAGGGGTACTTTCCTAGCATTAACTGTTTCTTTGTGTGGTTTTGAACAGAGCATAATAGGAAAGCACCACCAACCACGCTTGATGACGTTTACGGGCCTGTGTTCCTATGCAATTTAATTTTAAATAATGTGCTTAAACTCCCCTAAAATCTGCAACATTTACTCTACTACTTGTTATATAAAACGTTTTTAAACTTGCATAGTTTGGCAAAAAATAGTCTAAAAATTACATTTAAAACAAAATCTGTAGCAAAAAGTAATTTCAAGCAAAATAAAGCATTTTTATAATTGCAACGAAAAATTTGTTCCCCATTGGTATTTATAATGTATACCAAAACATCTTCGAATTAACTCATTATTTATTTTAAATAAATACCGATGAATATAATAATCATAAGTTCATAAAATCGTTTATTTCTTGTTTGATTTTGTTTAAATCATATTTCTTTTAAGGTAGAAAAATGGAGAACCCAATACTTTATGTAGCAATATCACTAATGTTGACTTTTGTCGAAGTGATGTCCAATACGGACAATACTGCAGATTGTCCAAAAATATATCAAAGATTCAGCACTAGTCATACATATTGTCAGCCAAAAAACACTTCTTGTAACATAATACGATCAAATTTGGCACAGCAAGAGATTAACCAGGTCATACAGCTTCATAATAATTATCGAAGCACTATTGCAACTCAAGGAAAAGGAAGTAATGGTCTTCCACCTGCAGCTGACATGCTATATATGGTAAGTGAGAAAACATATTTATATCCAATACAATATATCTCATTACTAGAGGTGAGAGAACATGAATAAATAATTTCAGGAATGAAAAGTTTTACTCCCTAACATATATTCAGTCACTTGAATAACGTTTCAATGTTAATTGTTAAAATTTCGCTGTAAAAATTATCAAAAAACAATTTATTTAATTATTATTTTACCATATTAAACCGAAACAGCCAAATAACCATAAAAAATTATATTCAAACTGTTAAGTGTGAGGAAATGCGTTTAATGATTATTTTTCCCTGTTGAAGACAGTTTCGACTCTGGGAGCGCGATTGTTCTTGTTTTCCAGTGGCGCCATCTATGGGCAAAAACTCCACTCATACGTTACATCGGTTTACTATGCTGATTCATTCTTATATCCATTCATTCATCCACAGATCGCAATTTTGACTTGAGCTAGAGAACGATTAATCTGCATTCCAGTACCCCGAAAGGTATAATTTGCTATGGTAACATAGAGAACTTTGTGACCCGACTGATTTAACGTTCACCAATCACCATTTACTACACATGGAGTCTGCGACCGGCTGTATTCAAATTCCTATTCTCACGAACGGGAGTCTAGTACCCTACGAACCCGGCTATCCTGTCCATTGTTTTTTCCTAATAAGGTTCAATAACCAGAATTCTAGTAGCGCCAACCAGGCCCACCCTGTGAAACCATTTTGTGCAGCTTGTACATATTATAGCTAAGAGAAGTAATCAGTCAATCTCATTACCGGCTGAACAGGGGTTCGAATCCCAGCGTTCGTATCAAAATATTTCTCCCATTTTTTCAATTCATGATAAGTTTCTGGAGTCTTACATTCTTCAATCGGTGACTTTTGACTGTTAGAATGCGAAACTATTATTCACGCATAAATGGCGCAAGAGAGCAGCATTGTCCGTTTAAAGTTCAGTTTTATGGTCTTGAAACTATGCTAGTTGTAAATGGTTAGAAAACCGTGCAGTTTTGTATTAGCAGTTTTTCAACCGTATCAATTGTTAGCGGTTTCAAAAATATGACTTTTTCAAAATTCGATTTCTCAGGAACTATTGGACCGATTTCGCTTAAATTTTCTTATTTTGCCATTTAAAAATATATTCCTTAAAATGATGTAAAAAATATAGTCCATAATTCAAAAATTTTTAGACTATTATAGAATAAAATAATGAAAAATAATAAATATTTATTAAAAGTTATATTTTGTATGTGAATATTTTTGGATAAACGAATTTTATATTTGCACGCAAAATTGTTTCAATTCGTCAATAAAGTTTTCGATATATATTGAAATACTCAAACAGTAAGATTCATATTAAGGGGCCCAAACTTTGCACCGTTCTCCTGTCAAACTATTGGGACCATATTTCCCAGATTGTGGCTACCCCTTATATTATGGCGGTCAGAAATCTGAATCCATCAACTAAAAAAAGAAGAAAAAAAAAGGAAAAAAAGAAACAATTATGTTTATTCTGAGAAAGTACGTTTTTATGTCTAATTTCTCAACTTAAGATATCGTCTGCACTAATTAGCATATTTCAATTCATCCCCTCGAACCATTAACATTGAGTCCTAGAACGCGAAGATCCAATCATTGGATAAGTTATTTATGGTGGTGCGTATATTTTTTGTGAACTCTATAACACTATCAAATGTATTGAAGTTGGACAATATATTTTGGCCGTCAGAAATCTGAATCCGTCAAAAAAAATTACGCTTATTCAGAGAAAATGCGTTTTTGAGTCTGATTGCGTAACTTAAAATATCGTATGCAGTAACTAATTAACATATTTGAGGACACTTCCTTGAATCATTAAGAAGAACGTGGAGATCCGATTATTAGAGCAAAAGTTATTCAGGGTGGTCTGTTTATTTTTTTGCGCACTGCACAACGCAGAAACAAACAAAGAAATTATTTTGACATTTTTTAATTTTTATAATTTTGTAGTCGAATTATATATTTTCTTTGTTTGTTTAAGGAATGGGATAACGAACTGGCTGCGATTGCACAACGTCATACTGATTCGTGTGTTTACAAACATGACGAGGGAGATGAGAGACGAGTTAGTGAGTACTGATTATTGTTATATAACATAAATCACTTAACAACACATTTATTCTGCATAATTTTTTAAATTAAATTTAAGAAAATTCATGAGTATTGTGAAAATTCTTCCCTGATATCCGGAAAAAAATGTAGCGTCCATGTGTTTTTCTCTTTCTGGACACAGCTCCAAATGCATATTTGAGAAGACAGACGCAGCTCAAAATTCGTAATTAAGAAAATGGACACAGCAAAAATACACTTTTTCAATGCTTAAATCAAATTTAACAATTAAACAAGGAATTTCGTAGTTACCTTTTAAACACTTAGCTCGAAACTCGTATTTAAGAAAATGGACACAGCAAAAATTCGCCTTTTCGATGTTTAAATGAAATTTAACAATTAAGCAAGGAATTTTCTAGTTACTTTTTAAACACTTAGCTCGAAAATCGTATTTAAGAAAATGGACACAGCAAAAAATACGCTTTTTTCATGTTTAAATCAAAGTTAACAATTAAGCAAGGAATTTCGTAGTTACTTTTTAAACAGTTAGCTCGAAACTCGTATTTAAGAAAATGGACACAGCAAAAATACGTTTTTTCCATGTTTAAATAAAAGTTAACAATTATGCAAGGAACTTCGCAGTTACTTTTTAAACACTTAGCTTGAAATCCGTATTTAAGAAAATGAGCACAGCAAAAACACGCTTTTTCCATGCTTAAATAAAAGTTAACAATTAAGCAAGGAATTTCGCAGTCACTTTTTAAACACTTAGCTCGAAACTCGTATTTAAGAAAATGGACACAGCAAAAATACATATTTTCCATGTTTAAATAAAAGTTAACAACTAAGCAAGGAATTTCGCAGTTACTTTTTAAACACTTAGCTCGAAACTCGTATTTAAGAATACGGACGCAGCAAAAAATGCACTTTTTCTATGTCTGAATCAAATTTAACAATTAAGCAAGGAGTTTCAAAACACCAGGAACTATTCTTTTTGTTTTGGTGTAGTAGACCACAACACATTTTTTCACCACCATTTTTGGTTTTCAGACAAACAGAAATTTTTTACAGCGTACCAGTTGTTTTTGGCTGAAATTAAAAATTAATTACTAATCCTTCTCTAACTTGCATGCAAAATTTTTTTTTAAATGAAATTGAAAGAGAAATACACCGAAGAGCCATTACATTATGACCATCCTGCTAACAACATGTAGGACCACCTTTAGCCCTTAAAACTGCTAGTACCCGCCATGGCATTGATTCCACAAGGTGCTGATAGGTAGTCTGAGGTATCTGGTACCAAGCGCTCACCAACTGGTCCTGCAATTCCCTCACATTGCGAGGGGGTAGCGTGGCAGCACGAATTTGGCTTTCCAAGTAGGACCACAAAGTTTCTATTGGATTAAGGTCAGGTGAATTTGGGGGCCAAGACATGACTTGAAAGTCACTGGAATGTTCCTCGAACCAATCCAAGACGATTCCATCCTTATGACAGGGTGCATTATCCTGTTGGTAAACACCATCCCCCGCAGGAAAAACTGTTGCCATGAATGGGTGAACCTGGTCTGCAACTACGTTCAAGTAGCTTACAGACGTCAGGGATTGTTCTATGAGGATTATGGGTTCTAATGTGCCCCATGAAAACATTGTTCCTGAGCGAGAAACCATGAAAATCTGGGCGAGCCCATTGTTATGGATGAAGGGTGGTCATAATGTAATGGCTCTTCGGTGTAAGTTCAGTATAAAACTGCTTAAATAATTATTTATCTATAATTTATCTATCGAGACTTTTTAGCGATAATTATTCGATAACATTTCCGTTTTGTCTTAGAACATTTACATAACAATTATATATTTTTAGTTTCATATTTTTAACTATATATTTCAAATTATATATTTTTATAATTTGGAATATATTTTGTATATTTGACTAATTTGACATAATTTGTATAGTTGACTTGATGTATTAATAACTAAATATTATATTCGAAACAGCTGAACTTCATATACATCAGATAGAGGATAATATATAAATAAATAATGTCGCAAATGCTATTTTCAAACGTAATGATTTAAAATATTATTATTATTTTTTGTTTAAACTAAAAAAAATTACGAATTTATTTATTAATTTCTTATTTATTAATTTTCTATTAATTAATTATTAATTTATTTATTATCTATTTATTACTATTATTTAGGAAATTTCGGGGTTGGACAAAATATTGGAAAACAGACAGTTTCTGGTTCTAATGTAGAACAGCCACAGCCTGATTGGGCGTGGGCTATTGGAGCGTTTTATAACGAAATTAAAGATTTTTCAAGAGATATGAATTGTGGATCCCGAGACCTGCCACCAGGTCATGGGGAAATTGGACATTTTACTCAGGTGATCTTTTTTTAAAACTACCTACTTTGTTAAAACATTGTTGTGGATAAAAAAAAAATTTATATAATCCCCCATAGGCAAAATATTTTCAAATATCTGCAAAAGGACTTATAGATTTATACAAATGTTCTGCAAGCCTTTCACAGCGAAAAAAAGTCAACTTAATGTTAAAATACTATATTTTCATTTATTAAAATACAGGATAACACACAGATACACTACATTATTTTTTAAACCAAGGCAAACAATCTTGATTGGTTACTTTTTCAATCACTTTTGAAGTACAAAATTTTGTTGATGATAATGATGATTTGTTGATAAAATGCCTCTGATATGAAGGTTCGGACATTAAAATAAAAGCTGCCTTAAAATTCTTTCGAAGGGACAAGTGCCCAGATGGTGCACCATTTGCAGACACAAATATTCGCTGGTCAGTTGTTCCAACAACTTCTTCATCTCCATCGAAAGCATTTGGCCTTTTAGAAACAATTCTGTCAATCGTGGATCCCCACGACTCACAAATTGCTTCTGAAATGGGAATTTAAAATGTAAAAGTCATATACTTTATGAGATTGGAAATCTCGGAATTTATTATCTTTTACAGCTTGCTTTAGGAGCTCTCTTAATAAAAATGGTGATCGATTTCTCCCGCTGTCTGATAATATATCATTTTATAAAATAATACAGCCAAAAGCTAATTCATTAATTTCCTCCTCAGAATGTCAAAGATATGGGAGGGAGATATTACTGATAAATGTGCTGAAATTTGTGCAGGGTGTCAAATGTTCCTCTTCTAAAGCAACATCACTCCTGGGAAACAGGAAAGTGGTGAAAGCTAAAGAGAATTTTATTCAAGATACAAATTGTTCTGCAGGACTTCATGTGTTCTGCGACGTACGCCACAGTTTTAGGCACTTTCTGTTCTGGGTATAATCCTAACTTTCAGAAACCAAAATACATCCAATTTAAGTAGTATAATCAAATCGTTCTGCAGTTTAACATTAGCTTTTCCTAAAATTTTCTCGTATCTTTTACCACTAAAATGCAGAAATCAGTTATTCCATTGATTATTTAGGTAATGTGCAAACTAGTGTGATCCTTTAAAGTGCCGAAGATTGTCCTATTTCTCAAATTACTTAGGTAATCTAAAAATTACCTAGATAATCAGTACATTATCTACGAGGTGCTCGTTTATCAGCACAGTACTTGCATATTAAAGTCAATCGGTACTTGTTACCACTAAATTGCAGAAATTGGTCATTCTGCTGATTATTTATGTAATGTGCAAATTAAATAGATCCTTTAAAGTGCCAAAAATAGTTTGATTTCTCAAAACTACTTAGGTACTTTGAAAATTCCTAAGATAATCGGTACATTTTCTACTAGGCGCTCGTTAATCAGCACAGTACTTACTTATTGAAGTCAATCGGTACTTGTTACCACTAAATTGAAGAGATTGGTTACTCTACTCTTTTTGTAATGCGCAGATTAAGTAATGTGATCCTTTAAAGAGCCGAAGATTGTCCGATTTCTCAAATTATTAAGGTAATCTAAAAATTACCTAAATAATCAGTACATTATCTACTAGGCGCTCGTTAATCAACACAGTACTTACTTATTAAAGTCAATCGTTACTTGTTACCACTACATTGCAGAAATTGGTTATTCTACTGATTATTTATGTAATTTGCAAATTAAATAGATCCTTTAAAGTGCCAAAAATAGTTTGATTTCTCAAAATTACTTAGGTACTCTGAAAATTCCCAAGATAATCGGTACATTTTCCATTAGGCGCTCGTTAATCAGCACAGTACTTACTTATTGAAGTCAATCGGTACTTGTTACCACTAAATTGAAGAGATTGGTTACTCTACTCTTTTTGTAATGCGCAGATTAAGTAATGTGATCCTTTAAAGAGCCGAAGATTGTCCGATTTCTCAAATTATTAAGGTAATCTAAAAATTACCTAAATAATCAGTACATTATCTACTAGGCGCTCGTTAATCAACACAGTACTTACTTATTAAAGTCAATCGTTACTTGTTACCACTACATTGCAGAAATTGGTTATTCTACTGATTATTTATGTAATTTGCAAATTAAATAGATCCTTTAAAGTGCCAAAAATAGTTTGATTTCTCAAAATTACTTAGGTACTCTGAAAATTCCCAAGATAATCGGTACATTTTCCATTAGGCGCTCGTTAATCAGCACAGTACTTACTTATTGAAGTCAATCGGTACTTGTTACCACTAAATTGAAGAGATTGGTTACTCTACTCTTTTTGTAATGTGCAGATTAAGTAATGTGATCCTTTAAAGCGCCGAAGATTGTCCGATTTCTCAAATTATTAAGGTAATCTGAAAATTCCCAAGATAATCGGTACATTATCTATTAGGCGCTTTTTAATCAGCACAGTACTTACTTATTAAAGTCAATCGGTACTTGTTACCACTAAATTGCAGAAATTGGTTATTCTACTGATTATTTATGTAATGTGCAAATTAAATAGCGTGATCCTTTAAAGTGCCAAAAATAGTTTGATTCCTCATATTAATTAGTTAATCTGAAAATTAGCTAGACATAATCAATACAATATCAACTATCCATTCGTTAGACCGCACAATACTTACTCATTGAAGTAAATTTTTTCTTTGTATTTGTTACCACTAAATTGCAGAAATCGGTTATTCTACTTTTTTTTGTAATGTGTAAAGAGTAATCCTTTAAAGTGCCGAAGATTGTCTGATTTCTAAATTTATTTAGGTAATCTTAAAATTAGCTTAATAATCAGTACAATATCTACTATGCACTCGTTAGACTGCACAATACTTACTTGTAAAAGTCAATTTTTCTTCGTATTTGTTACCACTTAAGTACAGTTAACCCACTGATTATTTATGTAATGCGCAAATTAACTAGCGTGATCATTTAAAGTGTCGAGAATTGTTTCATTTCTTAAATTACACAGTAATCTACAAATTAACTAGAAAATCTGCATATTACTAACTAGGCGCTCGTTAATCTGCTTATTACTGCACGTTAATCTTACTTATTCATTAAAGTGAAAAAAGAAGATATGTGAACGCAATAGAAAAGTGCTTCTAAGCTTAAAATAACAATGTTATTTATTTATTTTTTGATATCAAAAGAATCAAGTTAATCAAACAAGCAATCAGCATATTGGTTGATATAATTAACCCTCAATCTCTATAATATTATTTCAAGAATCATATGGTTTAAAATATTATCACAAATATGAAAAATAACATAATGTAATTTATTTATTTTTAGATATTTAATGAATAAAGTTAATAGAATCAAACAATCAACAAATTAGTTAATAAAATCAAGTAACGAGAAGAGGAAATGAGAGAAACAAACTTTTGAACTTTAACCATATGGAAGCTATTAATGTGCATAATAGGAAGACTCATCTAAGTATAATTCTGAAAACTCTTGATTCTGCATATTAAATTATTACCCTGATATGCATATTACCTACTTAATTCGAAGATTAACTAGGAAATGTGCATATTAACGGATTTCGAGTCTTAGCTAAAATATACTCATTATTCTTATACCTTTTGAATTTATTTTCTTTTATTTATTGCTAATTATTATTAACTTCGATTTTTTCATCCCATATAAAGAAAGGGTATATATATATATATATATNCAAGTTTATAATTCAAACAAAAGAACTGCAATAATTTTACAAGAAAAAAGTGGAGGAATTGAATTGAAAGTTGGGTTTACAGGCAAAATATATATATATATATATAAAAATTATAAAGAGTAATTTTTATCTCAAAAAATTATTTTTTACTCAGAAATATCGCATTTATCGTAAAGGAATGTGCCCTGATGATGACCTTTGCGTTTTCCCCTTAAAATATTTTATTTTCTATGTTATTTTATTTTATTCTTCCTTTTGTATATATATTTCTATTTAGGTTGTTTGGTCAAGATCTTTCAGAGTTGGATGCGGCTACACTCTGTTTAAGGAAGGCGATACTTACACACGATATTACGCTTGCAATTATGGTCCAGGGTAAGTACTCTAGTCGATTATGATGATCGTATGATCATAATAGTCGATCATAATAATGATTATGATTTATCATCGTTGCAATACTCGACACCTTAGGTAAAATGTTAAATACTTAGCACTGCTAAAACTTTGGTGTTTTTTGATCAATTTTATTGGTGCATTTTGTTTATTGTTAAATTTTATGAATTCATTGTGAGGTACTGGATTGGAACATACGACAGACTGCTATAGTGAACCCCATTTTATGCTTTATTCCACGGTACAATGGTTTAAATGTGACGGAATAAACCTGATTGAACTTATCTCGCAGCGAATTTACGCGGTATTATGGCTAAAAAAACTGATCTGATATTGTGGTTTAACAATTTTTTAAAAACTATTTCATTGTTTAATTCTTAACTGTTCATTCTAAAACAATTTCATATTTTAACTTTGAACCGATTATTCATATTAACTTGATCAGTAGATCACCGTTTTACATTTCAAACCTGTTGACATTTGACATAACCTACTTAAATTTGTTTAGCAATGTTTTGGACAGTCTCAAACAATGAAAATAAAAACCAATATTGCAAAAAAAGAAGCACAAATGAAACTTTTGGTCATATGTAGGCTATAAAAAAGTAACATTGCTCTATATTTCAATCTGGTTTAAACTTTAAAAAAGACTCTTTTTTGCGTAGGAATAACGAATATTGTTGTTTCAGATTTTTTGGAATCATTCAGTTTAAATCAAAACAGTAACATAAATGGAGTTTTTTTTAAAATTCAGTCTTCATATATGATAGAGTAGATATTTTACCCTTTTAATGGGAAATTGCAATACACGATACAATTTTTTAAAGTTTTTTTTGCAAGGAATAATAAAAGGACAACTATATTGATGAATCACTTAAGATACTGAAATAGTTACTTAACAATTGAGCAATTTATAAAATCCTTATTAAATAATTAGTTTTATAGTCTTTATTAATTAGGATAATAATCATTATAATATTTATTAATTAGGATAATAATCATTATAATCCTTTTTAACTAATTAGTATTTAAATAATAATAATTACACTAATTGAATAATTCAATAGTAATAACTACACTGTATAAAAGTTTGATGAATTTTTGCCATTATTTTGAGGTAAGCTAAAGTTATTTTAGAGTGCGTGTAGTCTCAATATTTACTTACCTTTACCCTGTAATAGTTTTATTTACTTATTTTTTGTTTGTTTATTTACTACTAACACATATTTCCATGCTCATTAAGGGCCAAAAATTTTTGGCCCATGCACCAAAAATTTTTGCAGTTGCAAAAATGTTTGCTTAACAATCATAGAATATTTGAATGCCAAGAAATCTAATGATTAAAATATTTTTACCTATTTCCTCAACAAGTAAAATATCGATACGTATGTTTTTGTACCATTGTCTTCTTAAAACTGGTACTAAAGTTGAATTTTTGAATAAAACAATAAAATGTGTGTTATTTGATAAACAAATGCAAGTTGTGTTTCGTACTTGTGTTATTTAAAGACATTCAGTAATGTGTTCATTTAATGTGTTTTCTTTTATCCATAGAGGAAATGTTGGTGGTGAATGTGTATATACAGAAGGTCCAGCATGTAGTAAATGTCCAGCAAATACTCAATGTACAAAAGACACAACACATCCTGGGCTTTGCCGTATGCTTCCTTTTATTGTGATACATTTAACAGAAATACTTAATGATACATTTTTGAAATTTTCCTGTTAAGTTTTTATTAATAAGAAACTTGAATAAGTTTTTAATGTATAATTTATGGATAATATATCTAATATACTTCCTCTTATTTTTATGTGCCAATGCCGCAATATTGCTCAAAAAAGTATATACTTTAACACATTTGACTCTTGTATAAAAATTTAAACAGATATCGTTTTTATTACTTAAAACCACTAAATATATAATATAATATAATATAATATAATATAATATAATATAATATAATATAATATAGTAGCTACCACTACAACTATTAAATTCCAATTCACTAGTATATAAGACATGTTAACTGGATTCTACCAAAAGGTTCCTTTTGATAGATGACGATTGACATATCAACCAACAACTTACATTACCAGGAACCAACACCTTACATTGGTGAACTTCGGACGTGATCTGAACACGCCTACCTCGACAGAAACGCCCACATCGATATGAAAACGCCTAGTTTGATGGATGGAACGCAGTGAATAGTTGACTGCGACATTGCTCTCCTCGTGCTGTTACTTCTCAGTCTCGATCACACATCACGGGAGCCTGTATAAACTCAACTGCTAATAGCAGCACGACCAAGTACACCATCGTAACCTTAATACAACACTCAAAGTTCAGTGATCTTAATATATCTCTCCCGGCCTCACTCAAAACAGCAATGTATCAACTAGTGATATCCATTCATCGAATTCTATTCACTGATAAAATTCTAGTGGGGGGAGTAATATAGAGTAGCTACCACTGCAACTATTAAATTCCAATTCACTAGTATATAAGACGTGTTAATTCGATTTTCCTTTTGATAGATAACTGTCGACATTGTCGTAAACAACCTAACCCTACAATATAATATATAGCATAAAAACCTTAAGAAATCTTTTTTTATGTTATTTCTTTATCTAAATTCTCCTTTATTTTTATTTATTATTCAAAATTTAATGCGTTCGCACATTTTATTATTCACATCTGGTCTTTTGTCTTTAAATTTAGATTAAAGTATGCAAGAATTAACATTTTAGATTAGGCTAGAATTAACATTGTCATATTATTTTTTGATTTTTTTTAGAACGAACCAATACTGAGGCACCTTATCAGCCTCTTAAAGTACCAACTATCTTCAATTGCAACTTTATAAATGCCAACTCAGAAGATTGCAAAATACATGCCATTGGAGATAACAGTTGGTATTATACGCCAGCTTTAGGTGGTAAGTATTACTTTAGGATTAAAAGAATTTGCCCTAAGCGAATATAATTCTTAAAATTGTTTATTGTTTATTTTCAACAAATGATTTTTTAAATAAGTGGCACAAATTGATGGTTATATCAAAGTAATAATCAGCGTTATGATTATTTCTGGTTAATCTGCTCTATTGCCGTGCAAAAGTTTTTCATATTATGCGTATTTAAAATTTAAAACGTAAAATTTTACTAGTTTGACGTAAAATCAGTTGTCATAGATGCCAACCTGTATTAATAATTTTATTAGTTTGACGTAAATCAGTTGTCATAGATTCCAACCTGGATTATTAGTTTTATTAGTTTGGCATAAAATCAGTTGTCATAGATGCCAACCTGGATTATTAGTTTTATTAGATTGACGCAAAATTAGTTGTCATAGATGCCAACCCGGATTATTAGTTTTACTAGTTTGACATAAAATTAGTTATCATAGATGCCAAACCGGATGTTTTAGCCCCTCGCACTGTTTAAAATGATTGTGAACTAACTGTATGAATAGTCGGAATTTGTTTAATTTTGCTACCACTAAAAATTTCACTGACAGATTCGCAAGCCTCATATATTTAACGCCTTGACGCAGAATGTTTTATTAAACATATTTTTCATTCTTTTTTTTCAAAGTTGAACCAAAATAAGTTAGAAATATATTATATTTAACACTTTAATATCTAATGTTATGAAATACAGCAGAAAACGACAGTTTCTTTTTCTATGCTAAAAGAAATTTGCACTGATTTGCATCAGCTATTTAGATCTAAGAGAAATGTAAGGGAAAAAATTAAATTTCTTAATTTCTTAAAATAAAATTTCTTAATTTGTTTTAATTTACAAAATCAATCATTGATAAAGTTTTGAATATGAATGATTTTTTTTCAAACTACTTTTTTTTAATTTTATATTTTAGTACAAACGTAATTTAGAAAATCTATATAGCAGATTTTTTTCGTAACTATAAGACTGCTTTTATAATTAAAAAAAATACCGAAATGTATTTTTGCTTCTCATTAGAGTGTCAAAAAATATACATAAAAAGGACACCGGGGTCTCATCTGTATCAAAGGATCAAGTCATGGAAAGTCGAATCCAATTAAAAATAATAAAATTATTAACCATGAATTTTTCTACTACTTGAAATATTAAAAAAAAATCTTGCAATTAGACGAGAAAAGTGTCAACTATGAGGTGAAGTTAATTTCTTTAAGTGGCGGTCAAGTCATGGAAAATCAAATCTAATTAAAAATAATAAAATTATTAACCATAAATTTTTCTATAACTTGAAATATTTAAAAAAATCTTGTAATTAGCCGAGAGAAGTTGCCAACTATGAGGTTAAGTTAATTTCTTTAAGTGGCTGTCAAATCATGGAAAATCAAATCTAATTAAAAATAATAAAATTTTTAACCATAAATTTTTCTATAACTTGAAATGTTTAAAAAAAAATCTTGTAATTAGACGAGAGAAGTTGCCAACTATGAGGTGAAGTTAATTTCTTTAAGTGGCTGTCAAATCATGGAAAATCAAATCTAATTAAAAATAATAAAATTATTAACCATAAATTTTTCCATAACTTGAAATATTTAAAAAAATCTTGTAATTAGACGAGAGAAGTTGCCAACTATGAGGTGAAGTCAATTTCTTTAAGTGGCTGTCAAGTAATGGAAAATCAAATCTAATTAAAAATAATAAAAAAAAATATTACAATTAGACGAGAGAAGTTGCCATCTATGAGGTTGGACAACAGCGTCATCCGGGCGAGATAGTTATAAAAGTAATACACTCTTTAAGTGTTGTTAGATTGACCTGCTGTTTAACTTCTCATGTATTATGTATCGGTTGTTGCAATTCCTGCAAAGTTATTACACCATACGTAGTTCTTTTTTCAAAACTACCAAGGATCTTAGAGAAAAATTTGGCTAAAAGTTGCATCAGAAATTAAATGCATTTGGTTGCGCTTTTTATTAACCTATGTTTAAAAAATACTTATGAAACAGACAGGGCTATAACTGACAGAAACAAAAGAAAAAGAATGATGTAAAATGATTTCATTCTCAGCTTATTATCAGGGAAGAGAGAAATGTATGTGACTGCATGACTTAGTAATTTTTAAAACATACATTCAGGCCTTGTTTATTACCCGGAAAAAATGTGCAATGATGCATTATAATCAAGCTCAGAGAGAGCTTATAATTTTAACCTACACTCTTTGTTTTAAAAATCACAGTTATAAATAATTTCCTATGCTAATATGCATGTTATAATAATTAATAAGTAATGATAATTAAGGATATTTTAGCGTCTGAAAAAAGGAGGAATTAAAGCCTTTTTTTAAAATTTATTTTCTTATCTTTCGAATTAAAACCTTTTTATCTTAACTTCACAATTATTCTGTTATATATTTGTAATTGTCTTATGTATTACGTTCTTGTGTTATACAATAACTTTATGTTTATAGTAAATCTATTGAATTTTATATAGATTCCCAGCATTACATAAGGCAATTTTGAAGCTCAACTTTATTTTTATAGACTTGAATTAATAAGATTAATAACACAGCAACTCACAGCTTAATTAATTAGCACATGGAATATTTATAAAATTTCGAATGTGAAGAAATCTCAATATGATGTACTAAGCCTGAGTAGTCCACTCGTAAACTGCAGTTTTTTTAAAAAAATTATGCGGTTAACATATTTTTGAAATTTACTTCAAAAAACGAAATGGATTAATAAAAATATTTTTAAAATATAGTATCAAATTAAGTTTTTAGAAATTATGAATGTAAATAGTTTCTTAATTATGAAAATATTATTATTTTTTTCCTGACAGGTAATTACTTAGAAACAGTTCTTCAACCTGGTCAAAATGGGACTGTTATATTTTCCAAACGTATCATTGGAGGTCCAAGTGCAAAAAAGTTATGCGTCCAGATAAAATACCGTAAGGGACCAGAGTTAGCGAAGAATGCTCAAAATAATGTAGGAAAAGCAATATTTATTGTACCTGCTTACAACGACTTCACTGCACCTTTTGACTTTCCAAGTTATGATGGTGGTTTCCGGCAAGGTTTTACTCCTTATAGTCTTACTTTAGGGTGGAAAGAACCAACAGAAGTGAGTGATAGACATTTTCTTAACTCAACATACCTCTGTTTTTAAATACTTTGTCTCATTAACCCTTCCTCAATAATACGTCATACATCGAATACGATAATGCAGCGAATATTATCAATAATAATGATAATTATCCAATATGTTAATATCCTGATAATTATTAAATACTATAATATCGCGAGTAATGTATATAATAATGATAATTATCGAATACGATGATGTCGTGAAAATTATCAATAATTATGATAATTATCGAAAACAATTTCCTGATAATTATTGAGTACGATAGTATCCTAATATTTATCGAATGCGATAATGTCGTGAGTATTATCAATAATAATGATAATTACCGAAAACGATAACATTCAGATAATTATCCAATACTATAATATCACGATAATTATTAATCATATTATCGTAATTAATCATTATATTACGATAATTGCAACGGCATCACCGCACCTTTTGACTTTCCAAGTTATGATGGTGGTTTCCGTCAAACTTTTACTCCTTACAGTCTTACTTTAGGTTGGAATGAAGTAACAGATGTAAGTGATGGACATTTTCTTAACTCAACATAGTTCTGTTTTTAAATATACTATGTCTCATTAACCCATTCCTTGCCTAAAAATAATGCGACTAACATCGAACACTATAATGTCACGAGTAATATTTGTAATAATGAAAATTAGCGAATACGATGATGTCACGAGTATTATCAACATGAATGGTAATTATTGAGAACGATAATATTCTGATAATTATTGAATACGATAATATCCTAATATTTATCGAATGCAATAATGTCGTGAGTATTATCAATAATAATTATAATTATCAAAAACGACAATATTTAGATAATTACCTAATACGATAATCATCGACGACGATAATCTCACTTTAATTATTAAGGTATGTTATCATTAAATACGTCAACATAACTAACATAACTAAAAAGGATAGTTATCGAACACAACATTATTGTTAGAGTAGATAAAGTTCTTCTAAGTAAACAAAAATATTGACCAAAGTAAAAGTAATCTAATTAGTTAAATTGCTAAACTATATTAATATTTAGAAAAAGAGACTATTTTTTATTGTTAGCTTTCTTTTTAGCTTTTAAAATATCATAACAGCATGATTTCAGGTTGAAATAAAAATAGTTAAGTAAAGCATTCTCATAACAGCACATTGCACATTGGGTCACGGTATTTAAGGCTCCACAATTTCAAGAGTAACAACGGCAAGAGGTTGTCGATAATCATCTTTGTTTTCCAGACAAGCTGGTGCCCATCTATCTGATGCTTGGTGGTGTTGGCGATCTAATTCTAGTACTTCACAATGGCAACTTATTGCCTTAACCACAGATAAGAAAATGAAGTTGCCAGACTTTATTATTTATTTATTTATTTATTTTTGTAAAAGGACGTGTGCTCAAAATATTATATTTGCGCCTTATAGGTTATAACCTACAAATCAATGCATACATACATAGTCTGCATTTGATATGCTGGTTTATTTGCATAAGGAAAACGGAGTGAGGGGTACGAGCTCAGACGATGCGTACGTCGTTTCTCCGGGATCAAATTTCTGTGCCTTTCGCCACTCATGACTATTTAAAGGCTGAACCTAAAACGAACCATGGCCATGGTTGAATGGTGGGTAGTGCTGGTTTAATATTTGTGGGCTATTGCAATAGTGTGATAACTGACATTTACGAGTTGATTATAGATCAAAACTGTATTTCTTAAATCATATTCTCTTGTATACATAGCAATCGTATTGTAGTAAGTCCAATAAATCGGTATTTGTAGGATAAAAAAAAAGTATAGTTTAGTCATAATTTAATTAGCCTATCTTTTCCCTTACGCCAAATTTATAAGAGAGCATTTTTTTTCTTTGCCAACTCGTCATTTTCATATTCTGAATAGTTAGAATGTAAATTATTTTACTATACAAGTTATTAAGCAATTTAATTGGCTAATTTATGGTGTTTTATTTTTGATTTTTCTGCCTACCTTACACTTCTGATTTCCTTTGCATTTGTGAAATCAAGCTTGTCCCCAGACGTTTCCCTTGATTTCTCTAACTTTTACTAACTTTTTATCTAGTTAACTTAGAAACTTTCACATTTTTAGGGAAAAATAGAGCACGATGTGAAAAAAGTATTTGCATTGCGTATGACATTTTTGCGATTCAAAAGCGGCTTGTATATAGATTAAGAACGGCTGACCGATGTTGTGGAGAAGCTTATGGCTCAAGGGCCGCATGTAATATTTTTGCGATTTGAGAGTGACTTGTATTTGGATTAAGTGGAAGTGATAGAAACATTGGAGAAGAGAGTGCTAATCTATTGTTAAAATTAACAATAAAATATGTTTTTAAAATATGTGGTAAAATTTCGCATATGTGACGAAATTTGGTAATTTTATCTTAAAGGCTTACCGCATGGCGTTAAAATTATTTATTTGGTTATATTTACTTTTCGGCTTTGTATTTTTAATTAAATGTTTGGTAATAAGAACTATAATTTTAAAAACCAGAATTTCCGGTAAACTTTTACCATATTAATTTAAAAAATAAACAAAGGAATGGTTTAAATACCGTATATTTTGGTTTCATTAAATAGAATGATTTTTTTTACCAGAAATGCCACTACCATATAGTGCAGTAATTTTATCAGAATTGTTTTCTCTGTACACATATAAGGCGTTATTTTCAGAGTTCATATGTATGATTTTTTAAATTTTTTATGCTGTGGTGGTTAAAATAATTTTAAATTAAGTTTTTTAAGCCCAGAATAATATATTTCAGCATAAAATTGGCTAACACTAAAAATTATAGTTCGGAAATTTGTAAAAGTTGAATGCTATTTTAAATTCTTTCAAAGTGTTTTGAAGTATATATATTAAAATATTTTTCAACAATGTTTCTTTCAGTTGAAGATATCTTTCGCAGTTCCAAATGGTGCTACACCCCAATTCTTTAATGTGAAATCTATAGTTGGATTTAATGACAAATGCGAAAATACTGGGGACTATTAGAAGAAACCAAAATGTTGTTATGGATACATTGTTTTGATTGAAAATATAAATAATTGTTGAAAATAAATATTGATTAACTTAGTTTGTCTGATATAATTTTTTTATTTAAGTTTATACCTTTAATCCTTTGACGCAGATTGGCCCCCGGTGTCCCTTTTATATATTTTTTCCGGCGTTCTAATTGCAAGCAAAATTATACTTTGGTATTTTGCATTAAAGTATGAAAGTATGTTATTAAAAAAAATCTGCGCCAAAGGGTTGTAATATCATCATGTCAATCATAGGTTTCCAACTTTTTTGGAAGATCATCCAATTGGAAAGTCAGAACTTTTCATCACCCCTTTCCCATTAGAAAGGCAGAAAAGAAATAATAATAAATAAATAAATAATAAAACTGTTTGCGCTAATATAGTTTTTTTTATGAATTTTTGTTATCATTATAATTATGTCTTTAAGTTTTTGAAAATATAGTTGATGACCAATGCTTTCAAATTAAAAACGTTTTTTACGGTAATTTCGATGAAAATAATCCATTTATAAATCCATTTGCATGAGAGTAAATTCAGCATGCAATTTTGTAGTTTAAATTAAATACTTAATTTTAATATTAATCTTAAATTAATCTCATTTTGATAATATCCCTTTAAATTATTATATAAAAAGATAACACATAAATTATAAAATTAGATTAACTTAATGTTAAATTCAAAGTTTCTTTATAAAATAGGTTTAAAATAACAGAATAGTAACCAAACATTTTCATAGGGGAAAGTGGAGTAAGACCAGAAGATTTGAAAGCCTGTTGGAGCATGCTATAGTCATAAACACTCATGAAAAATTGTAGAATTAACGTGATTAACGTTTCTAAAATTAACGTGAGTTATCGTGTTTAAGGTGATGTAAAATGTGAAAAAAACTGATTATGAGATAAATGCACTAATAGACTTTAAATAATTAGTCTATACACTGTTATCACCATGCACAAAAACTGCTGTTTCTTGGTAAATAATTGAAGTACAAACAAAAGAAAAATATTTTTAGAAAGCTAAGAGTACAGGAATTTTAAATTATTAGTCAAGTCAATTTCAAAAATTTTACCCAAAATCATGTTTTTGCACTAATTAGATTACCTTAGAATTAAAATGAATTTGAAATGTAAATATTAGAAATAATCTGAGAAAGTTCATGAAAGAAATTTATTTTAATTAGAAGTTTCAAATTTAGAAAAGATTGCAAATAAATGAAAATATATGTCATAGAAATGATGGTGATCGTCACGCAGATTGCAATTCTTCAATTTCTCTTTCATGATTCTGCATTCTACTTCTTCGGGATCTTCTCGCTTGCAATTTCTCTTGCAATCCCTGTGTTGTTCGAGCCTTGTTCATTGTTTGAGCTTTTTCGAAATCTGCCATTTCAACTGCATGTTTCTTTCTTAACTCGTCAATTTTACCTAAACATAAAATTGAGATTTACAAAATTGATAAGGTTAGAACATTTAATATTTATACTTTTTTAAGGAATACGTTAAAAATAGCTTTCTCATTTTCAAATAATGAACACATAAATGTACTTTCTCGGAATAAACATTATAAGAACCAATATCAATGGTGCAATGGAATCAAAAACATATATGTACTTTCTCTGAAGAAATATTATAAGAACTAATCTTAATGGTTCTAAGTGCAATGGAATCAAACACATAAATGTACTTTCTCTGAATAAACATTATAAGAATCAATCTTAATGGTTTAAAGTGCAATGGAATCAAACACATAAACGTAGTTTTTCTAAATAAACATTACAAGAACCAACCTTAATGGTTCAAAGTGCAATAGAATTAAGCACATAAATGTACTTTCTCTGAATAAACATTATAAGAACCAATCTTAATGGTTCTAAGTGCAATGGAATCAAACACATAAATGTACATTCTCAGAATAAACATTATAAGAACCAATCTTAATGGTTTAAAGTGCAATGGTATAATGGTGCAATGGTATTAGTGCACATAAACGTACTTTTTCTAAATAAACATTATAAGAACCAACCTTAATAGTTCAAACTGCAATGGAATCAAACACATAAACGTACTTTCTTTGAATAATCATCCATTTTTTTGGACAGATTTGGATTCTTCAACACTCAGATGTAGGAGTAATTTCAATTCGGAAAGTATGATCCCAATATCTTAGTCAGGAGTGCAGCCAAAATTTTGGGCTCCTTTATTTTTATTTAACTTTTTCCGTATTACGCTATCTCTCGAGAACATTTGAAGCAAATGAAAAAATTTTATGCGCAATTATAAAATTTCTTCTACCCAAACATGATTAAAAGAGCAAAAAATAATTTTAATTATTGTTTATTATTTTTTATTAATTTATTTTATGGTAGACAAAAGCATTTTAAATTTTATGATACATTAAATTTTACATCACTTTGAACTATGTTATTTTAAATGACAAGATATCTCATAAAATATCCTCAGTGGCAGATGGATCATGGGTTACGGACCCTTGCCATCAGGCTGAACGTGGGATGTTTCATTGTTTTCTTCTCCATGTAACGCAAATGCGGGTTAGTTCCATCAAAAAGTCTTCCACGCAAACAAATCTTTCCCAATACTTGATCCGGGAGTTCCTTTGTCTTTTGGACCGGGTTCAAAATTACAAGGCTACGGTGTTGAACATTAGTAGTCCTTAACCCAAAAATTGTGTCGGCTGTTCAATGACGGTTATAAAATTGCTGATGCCTCTCCCCATAATTTGACAATCAAAAATCCAAATTGTCAACAAAAAAAATGCATCTTTATTCTGAAAAATTGAGGTTTTGTGTCTGATTTCGTACCTTAGTAAATAAATAGCCTTAAATAATTATTATATTAGAAGTTGACCCTTGAACCATTAAGAGTTATTTTTAGACTGTTCAAGGAGAAAAATAACTTTGCCATTATATGACCCCCTGACAAGAATGAAATTTTTAGAAACAAAATAAAATTTTTATAAAGATGTTATTGGGTTCGCTATCAAGAATAGTGTTAAAAGCTGTTTTCTACCAATTATGGTTGAGTTTACTGGGAGTCAATTCCAAAATTTATGCACGGTAGTATCTACAATTTTTCCCACCGAAACGGGATCCACACTGGAAAACAAAAATTGGTGTTAGTATAATATTTTTAGTATGACAAACGGTGGAGCTAAGCAGAGAAAAGAAAAAGAGTAAAAATTATTTTAGCGAGTGATTTAGCTCTATTGGATAAAAAAGAACATTAATTTTCAAGCTCTCTCTTTATTTCTATCTTCTTTATAATTATTTATATTAAAAATATTATTACAACTCCATTTTTAGCTTCTTTACTACTTCGATAAAAATGTAAGTGCTTCCATTCGAAAATTTCGAAATTCTGTTATTGCAACCATATTTAAGAGGTCTTGATAATCCGTTTTTACGTTATTCTTGAGTACACCCAATAATATATTTACAAATTCTTTTTCTCATCAAAACACGGAAACATATGTTGAAAAAGTAATTTCATTAACACTCTTTAAACAAATTGAAATTTTGTTGAATTATAGATTTTTATATTATTAAAATGAAGAAATTACACAGAATTCATCTGAGCGTTTATTTACATATGTAAATATTGTAAAAATGTTTTTATCTCCCGAAAAAGGGCTTTTAAAATGTTTCAATTTTTTAGATAATCTTATCTATTTCACTAAAAATTATATTTACTAAATGTTCTTCAGCTTCAAGTGAAAATAAATAAGAATCACATATTTCATAACATATATTTTTGTTAACTTACCAAAAATTTCTTCATTTGTAGGTATAGGTGCTAAGTCCGATACTGGCACAGGTGTTGGCGCAAGGGGTAAAGTTGAAGTTGCTCGTAATAGGTTTTGACTCTGAAAAATATCTCTTTATCATTAGAATCATAGTTTTATTACATATAAAAATTTAAAAATATTAAAAAAAATATGCTAAGTAATTTCAGTTTATTATTTTTTTAACAGGGATCAAAAATGTATAGGTTCTTTTCAAAAAATTGATTTCATTTTTTTGCTTCCTGAAATTTTTTGTTTGCATCTGAATTTCACAAAGTTTCTTGTAGTTTGAAACGAAATGCAAACTTATGTTTAAGCATGCAAAATATATAGTAATAAATCTTTCAAACATACAGTTAGTTTATAGTATATTTAAGCATTATTATTTTTCAAAATATAAATATTTTTTAAGACTCATAAAACTGAGTAAAATTTTAAATTTTTTAAAATATTTATTTATATTTATAAAAATGTAAAACATACAGCTTTGAAGAATTAAAGTTCTTTGTGAAAGAACATACAAACAAGAGAGCTAAAGTTAAGCAAACCAAAACGTAAGTTATTGCATTAGAGAACCAAGTTTGTGTAATGTAAAAAATTAGCTATTTTTTGGTAGAACCACATTGGGGTAAACATTGGGATAACAAAGTTGTGTAAGAACTTTATGCAACTTACTGGTTCTTCCACAAATGACCTATTATTTTAAAAATCAATCACAAAAAACAAAGAAAGAAGAGAAAACGAAGTGACATAGAAATGTAGTTTCCTTCTGCTTTTCTTTAAAAATTAAATAAAGACCGATTTTTAAAATTAGTAGTAACATTTGTCACCAGATGGAGCGGTTAACTGAGTAAAACTGTAAAACAATGTTTTCAAAATATCCACTATTTGAAGCAACACCGTGGTGCAGTGTAAGAACAGAATTAAAAGACACCCATGTAAAAATTTAAATTGACACTATCTTACATGCGTTTGAAAACATTCGTTTATAATCATTTTCATTTTTTTGAGCCGTGATGGAGTAGGAGATAGAGCGTTACCCTTCCAATGAGGTGCTCCGGGTTCGAATCCCAGCGATGGCTTGTCGATACGAATTCGGCAAACGGCTCACACTGACTACAGTACTGACGTAAAATATCCTCAGTGGTAGACGGATCATGGGTTAGAGTTCCCTTGCCATCAAGTGAGCCGCGGGAGTTTTTCATGTTTTTCCTTTCTATGTAACGCAAATGCGGGTTTGTTCCATCAAAAAATCCTCCACGAAAGCAAATTTCTCCCTATATTTGATCAAGGAATTCCCTTGTCTTCTGGGTTGTGTTCAAAATTACAAGGTTACGGATTTGAACATTAGTAGTCGTAATCCCAAAATTGGGTCGACTGTTCAGCGAGGATTATAAAATCTTTTTCGAAAGCAGCAACCTCTTGTCAAACTTCGAAACTAATTTTGAAATTTAGGGAGAGAAAATTATATAACTTTAAAGCAGGACACAACAAACAGTCTATTTTCATCTCCCCCCTTTCATTCTTTATTAAGAGATTTTTTAAATAGTTTGTCCCTTTTGCGACAACAATTATCCTGGATGAGTTTTAATTGCTTCAGGCCCGTCTTTATCAGTTTACATTATTTAGATTTCAATGATGTTTTTCCTGGCTAAATATATTAAGTATTAATTTTTGACTCCTAATGTAAGTACGCTTTTGACTTTCATTTTAAGAAGCATTCTGAAAATGTATATCAAGAGCAGCTAATGTAGGACACCTTGCATTTTGAAAAGGTTTCATAACTATAATAATAACATTTGAAACCGAATGAAGTTTTGTTTACATAGCTGCAGTAAAAATAAAAATTAGCTTAAAATACTTCTTACTCCCAAGATGACACAGAATTTTTTACCTTGCCGTCAAGTCTTTCCGCTTCAAAAAGTTTAGCTACTTGTTCGTCGGCTGCTAATTCTTCAGCTTCTGTATCTAAAGATCCTACAATTGTTGAAATGATAAGTATTACAAACACATACTAGGCAATAACGTGATATTTTAAAATTAGTAATATTCGATATAATTTAATGATAAGAAATATCATTTTTGCGGTTTTAATAAATATAAAAATGTTTTAATACGTAGTCTTTAGTGAATGTGGCGCGACATGTGCTCAAGAAAGCCTATTAGACTTTAAACTAAGGTGACCAGACGTCTCCAACTTTAAAGACAGTCCTCGCATTTCAATCATTAAGAACTTACAAGCTCATTAAGACAGAAAATGTCGTCACATCTTTATATACGCCCTCTAATGTTGTCGAATTGTCCGAAAACGCATAATCGTTTGTTATATGTTTGTTGTTGTCAGTAAAATATCAACAAAAAAAATCAGAAATATTGTATTTATTGTATTAAACAGGATTATTTAATCAAACGGAGAATACTATCGAAAGGCAAAGAAGTACCATGCCAGAACTAACTTGGAAACTTCATGCTCTTATGAAAAATATTACAGCAAAAAACAAACTAATAATATAATATTTTTTATTTATGCTAAATAAAGCAGAATATGCTAAGGTATATCGAAACTGAGAAAAATTTAGAAAACAAGCTTAGTTAACTTCATCTTTTTGATGTTTGAAAAAACGTTATTTTTTATCTTTAGAAAAGGTAAATCTAGTTATCAATAGAGTTTTTATTTAATGAATGTTTCAGTCAAAGGTGAGTTAAACTTAGGTTTAATTTTTTTTAAATATTTCAGATTCTTATTAATATTGTGATTTTTACACATAAAAGCGCAAAATTAATATTAAAAGTACATTTGTTAGAAGATAATAATATTGATACAATAAATTTTAATATAAAATTTTAACATAAATATTCAAAAAAGTATGAATTAAGAGTCTTTGAGAAAAAATATGGTCAAAACCACCTGAATATTGTAAAATTGATCGTGTTTTTGGTTCTACGAGAACACCAAAAATCTAGTTAATTCTTACCGAAGTGCTTCGTAATAATTTTAGTAAAATTAACAATAAAATGCGGTTTTATAATGTGTGATAAAATTTGGTAAATTTCGTAAAATTTGTTAATACCTTGAGCCATGATACCTAAGATCACGCCATGAAAGCGATTTAATCGGTAAAATTTATTTTTCAGTTTTGTATATCTGACTAAATGTGTCGTAGAAAGAACTAAAATTTTAAAAACTAGAATTTCCGTTAAACCGCTATTACATGAACGGAAAAAAATTACCAAATAAATTGCTTAAATAAATTTTTAATAAAATATTTAAATATTTAAGATATTTAATTAAATATTTGGTTTTATAAACCGGATTTATGTTTTATTTTTACTGGAAATTTCATTACCATACAGTACTGTAATTTTACCAGAATCTTTTTCTCCTTATTAAAATAATGCAATTTATGAATCACGAATAATGGAGCTAAACATTAAGTTATATAACAATACTTCATGTTGAAATAACAAATAATGTGTTAACAAATAAGTTAACAAATTAATATCTTACATTATTTCTGATGTTGGAGTGAAATATTAAAAAAGACCTCCTTCTCGATAATAGAAATATGATACATTTTTAATTCGAAAATTAGTCTCTAATCACTTACGTAAAACATATCTTAAAAATATTTAACTTAATTTAAGAAAATATTCATAATTGCATAATTATAAATATTATAAGTACGTAATAATATAACCTAATAATAATGCATAATTTAATTAGATTATACATTTAAAGTCGAAGCAGTGCCTTCCATTACGAAATGAATTTCATATTCCAAGCAAGAGTAAGAAATGAAATAAAAAATTAGTTAAAACAATGTTTAGCTTCGACAGTTATTTAGTGGCGGAGGGGGATAGAGCGTTCCTTTTCAAATGAGGTGAACGGGATTCGAATCCCGGAGATGGCTTGCACTGATTGCAGTGCTGACGTGAAATATCCTCAGTGGTAGCCAGGTCATGGGAAAGGATTATCTTCCGAGAAAGCAAATTTCTCCAAATACTTGATCCAGGAGTTCCCTTGTCTTTTGGATTGGGTTCAAAATTAACAAGGCTATGGAGTTGATCATTGGTAGTCGTGAACTCAAAATTGGGTCAACGGCGGTTATAAATTGAAACTAGTTTGAGTTTTGAAAGGATAATTTTTTTTCACTAGTTAGTTAAATAGTTGATGGAATAATTTTTTGAAAATTCATTCAACAGCTAGTCAAAAAGTCTAAAAGAATTGTCCGAAATGTTTTAAAGTAGTTTTAATTCAATACTGGTTTTATTTATTTATTTTTTTAAATAATCTATGTCTTTGACCTTATGTAATTTTCATCAACTAAAAAAAAAAGAAGATAAATCTGGTAAAACTACTGAGCTTTATGGTAATACCATTTCTGGAAGAAAATTACAACATAATTCTGGTTAATAAAACCACAATATATGTTATTTGAACTATTCATTTGTAAATTCTTCTGTTCAGAAGGAGACGATTTCCCGGAATTTCTAGTTTTCGAAATTAAAGCTCTAAGTACAACACATTTATTAAAAAATACAAAACTGAAAAGTAAACTTAACCAAATAACTGTTTTTATGCTATGCTCTAAGGTATCATGATAAAGTTACCAAATTTTACTTTTTGACCGAATTTTATAACATATGATAAAAAATATTTTATTGTTAATTTTACCAAATCATAACCAAAGCGTTACAATAAAAACTACTAAGATTTTTGGTGTAACCATAGAACCAGAAACACTTTCAATTTTAAAATATTCTGGTAGTTTTGATCATAATTTTTCCCCAGTGCATCTTATAATATATTTTTTTATTAAACTATCACGCAGAGTTTATTACTAATTTTCTATATTGCAATTAGCAAATGATTTGTGTGTGATATTTTAATCAATAACCAAATGTAATTTACAAATGCATTTTATAACCCCTTCTTATAAAGAAAATTGATTAGAAATTCAGGTATTTTTCAATATTTTCTATCATAAAATAATAAGATCTATGAAAAACAAACAAGCCAGTATCGTATGTTTCTCTATTGCTTTTAGTCAATAAGTTATATCAAACATGAATGTTGTAGCAAATGTCGATAAGAGAGTCGTGGTTTTGTTTATCGCGTGATGATTTTTAAATAAAAAAGAAAACATTCGAGACTCATTTGCAGTCGGCACTCTCTTTTTGTAATTTAAATGTCAGTCCTTAGCAATATGGGTCAATACTTGAGCTGCTTGGAAACACAAAATTTCTAGTCAATACACTCTTTGAAATATAAATAATTTAAATAGTTAAAAATGGTTAACCGAACAATATAACCTCTCTAATCCATGTTTTATTTTAAATGTTTTAGTCCTTTTAAATGAATTAAAATGGCTAAAAAATTTTATGAGAAAGAACTAGTTAGGAATACCAGTCTCTGAGCTATAATGTATTCTTTAAGTGCTAATGCGTTTTCATTAGAGATACTACGCAACATAAATATTCAAACAATTGTTTTGAAAAGGTGATAGTAAAAGTTATTTTTCATATTCAGAAATCTCCATCTAAGAAATCAATATATAGAAGTGTCCTTTCTTTAGTATTGATTATATATATTTTCAATTTGTGGCCGTTTATTGTAGCTGATAATATTTTGAATCGGTACTAGTAGCGGGGTTTTCAGTGCTAAAGAAAATAGAGAATGCAAACAAGTAAAATCATTTAATGAATTCGAAACGCATTAAAAATATCATTTCAATGAATGGTGCAAATAATTGATTTTTGAATGTTGAAGAAAAAAGAGAATATAAAGAATTAGGACCTATATTCAAGTTGAAACATATATTGAATAACATTTTAATATCTGAGTTTTGGGTACTATTAAAGAGTTTTTGAGTGTGATAGAAAATATAGAATGCAAAATATTAAAATAAAGGAAGTTATTTAAATGATAACTAGATTAAATTGCGAAAAAGAGTGTGATATAAGCTAATAAAACTTACTTTTAAGTATTCTAAAACTATAATTTACTATAACATTAAACATTAATTTACTACATATTTATTTTGATTGGATAATAATTTGTGCTTTTTACAGTTTCGTTTCATGAGTTTTCAAAATAGTCTTATAACGCAAACCGAAAAAATATTGTAAATTACCGTAAAATTATCGCATTGTAAGGACATTTCTGGTAAAAAATGACACAATTAAGGTATTAAGAACTAAAATATACGGTATTTAAACCATTAATTTGGTGATTTTTCCGTTCATATGGTAACGGTTTACCGGAAATTCTGGTTTTAAAAATTATAGAGCATATTACCACACATTTAGTAAAAAATACAAAACTGAAAAGTAAATTTTACCGAATAAATAGTTTTTAAGCATTTTTTTAAGGTATCGTGATAAAATTACTAAATTTTACCGTAACTACCAAATTTTATCATACATTATATGATCATATTTTATGGTTAATTTTACCAAAATCATTACCATAGTGCTTTGGTAATGATTGCCGAGTTTTTCGGTGTTTTTCCATATTCTGGTAATTTTGGGCATATTCTTTTTCTCTGCGCAGTATATATTTCCGTAAGTTAGTTAGACATAATAGTTGTAAAAATTGCTTAGTTAGGATCTTCAATAATGTCTACTTCTGTTGAAAAAATTGTTAATATCTGTAATGCTATCTTCCTGATAATAGAAAAGAACTGTAGTTAATATAATAATAGTTAAAAAAAAATAATCGTCAAAAAGGGTTCATTATATCAGCTTGGTGAATAACACAATTTCCAAATAGTTTCAAGAGTTAAAGCATATAAAATATTATGGCGAAATCTTCTTAAAAAACAACAAACAAGGAGAAGACAATAAACAAAATTGTATAATGGAATCACGTTTATTTAGTTTCTCATTTCAAAGCCATCCCTTAATTTTTTATTAAATGACATTTACAGTCCAACTTAGAGTAGAATCCTGCAAGACTGGATAATATTATCATAGAA